GTAGTCTTTTAAGTATAATAGGACATGTCCTAAATCTGGGTGCAGTGATATACAGTAGTCTCAGCTACTTGTGAGGCTGAAGCTCAGCCTGGGCAACTTAACAAGTCCCCATCTCTAAAATATAAATAAATGAATACATACAATTTTAAAAATAGAGGGCTGGGCTCGGTGGCTCAGCCAGTAATCCCAGCGCTTTGGGAGGTTGAGCCGAGTGGATTGCCTGAGCCTGTGGGTTTGAGACCCGCCTGAGCAACTTGGCGAGACCTCATCTCTACAATAAATAAAAAATTAAGCCGGGCTCAGTGGCTCAGCCTGTAATCCCACGCCTTTGGGAGGCTGAGGTGAGTGGATTGCCTGAGCCCGCGGGTTCGAGACCCGCCTGGGCAGGCAAGACCTCATCTCTACAATAAATCAAAAAAATTAGCTGGGCGTGGTAGTCGCGCCTGTAGTTTGGGCTACTTGGAAGGCTGAGGCGGAAGGATCACCAGAGCCCAGTAAGTCGAAGCTGCGGTGGCTGGGAGCGGCCACTGCACTCCAGTCTGGGCGACAGTGAGACTCCAACTCAAAAAAAAAAAAAAAAATTAGCCTGGTGTGGTAGCATGCACCCGTAGTTCCGGTTACTTGGAAGGCTGAGGCGGAAGGATTGCCGGAGCCCAGCAGGTCGAGGCTGCAGTGGCCAGGAGTGTGCCACTGCACTCCAGTCTGGGCGACAGAGTGAGACTCCATGTCAAAAAAAAGAAAAAATAGAGCATGTCCTTTGGTTCTACTTGAAATGCTTTCTGGTGCCACAGGAAGAAGATAGGCTTTAGCACCAGAGCTAGACCTGAGTCTAAACCCTAGGTCCTTCACTTACTAGCTCTAAGTTGCTTAACCTCTCCATTTGTTCATCTACAAAATAGAAGTAATGGCTACTTCATAGTGAGATTATAAAGAAGTAAGAAAACATGCTAAGCCGGGCTCGGTGGCTCAGCCTGTAATCCCACACCTCTGGGAGGCTGAGGTGAGTGGATTGCCTGAGCCCGTGGGTTCGAGACCCGCCTGGGTCAGCGAGACCTCATCTCTACAATAAATCAAAAAATCAGCCGGGCGTGGTAGCGCATGCCTGTAATTCCGGCTACTCGGAAGGCTGAGGCAGAAGGATCGCCAGAGCCCAGCAGATAAGGCTGCGGTGGCCGGGAACCGCCACTGCACTCCAGTCTGGGCAACCGAGTGAGACTCCAACTCAAAAAAAAAAAAAAAAAAAAGAAAAAAGAAAACATGCTAAAGTGATTAGCACAGTATGTGGCACATGGGTATCCATGCAAAAATATTAGTTTTCCTCTTTATTTTACTGATGGAGAGATAAAATGCTGGACTAGACAATGGGTCTGGTCAAGTGAGCCACTGTTTATGTTCTATCTAAACATGTATTTTTAAACATTTCAGTTATTAAATAGCACAAGACAAAACAGTTCTTAGGTCACCTGGATTCATTTAATATACCTTCAAGTTTCTTACAGAACATCTATAACATACCAACAACTGTACAAGAAAGATACAGAGCTACTAAGTAAGACATTGTAAGTCCCAGCCCCCGAGGAGCTCATAGTCTAATGGAAAAGGCAGATGAATATACTAGAAATGACAGGGTTCGATGGGAACAGAAGAGAAATCGTATCTAAAAACACTTTAGGCAGCCAGGGGAAAACTCCTAGAAGAACTGACACTTGAGCTGAGCATTGACTTCCAAGCAGAAGGAATAATATTTACAAAGGCATTGAGGCAAAAGAAAGCATCCTCTGTTCTAAGAACTACAAATAGTCATGAATTAATGGAGAGACGGATATACTTGTATGTGGAGGTATAGCAGAACAAAGCTGAAGAGAGAGGTAGAATCAGATTTGAAGATATTTTCTGCCTTACTGAAGGGTCTGGACTTTAAATAGGCAATGAAGAACCACTGAAGAGTTTTAAACTAGAAAATTTAATTTTCAATGTTTTGTTTTAGAAATAAACATTTTGGCAGCAGAAAAGAGGATACATTCAAGGAAGGCTTCAGATGAGAAGGAAGGAAGGAGGAAAGGAAAGAAGAAAAACTGTTAGGGGCATTAGTGGTAATCTGAGTAAGACATCATAAGAACTTGAACAAAGGTAGTAAATGTGAGAATAAATTAGAGAAATACTAAGGCAAATAGATAAGGGAAATATTTTTTTCTCTTCTCCAGGAAATATTAAAGTAGAATAAAGATGACTTGATATAATCTCTGGGGGGATGGTAGATGAGTATAAGGAAGTTGTTCAAGATGACTTTCAGAATCTGGCATGGAAGACTGGATGGACGATGCTGCCATCTAACAATGTAAGAGATAATGGAGAGAATTGGGATGGGAGGCCCAGGCAGCAGCAGAGATCAGTTTAGTTTGGGGCATGTTGCATTCCATATACCTGGGAAGATGCTCAACAAAGAGTTGTCTGTGTTGTCCAAGAGATCTGGACAACAGAGCCAACTAAATGGAGAGGTTAATTTAACCATATGTGAGAGTGTTATAAACAGCAGCCCAATTCAACAATTAACAGTTTTCCTTTTATTTCTAATAACTATACATATTAAGTGCTCAGTAAATATTTGTTGAGTTGAAATCACTGTGGCTACAACTTTTACCATTAATCTTTTCTATACATGCTTTGACAAAAGTAGATTGATCTAATTTTACTCAGCAGTAGGCAACTTTGGTCAGGTGGTACTAGACAGACAGACTATCACCATTTGAGTAGACTAGTACAAAATTGGCTCTTACTTGATTATCTTAAGTATTTTCCTGATTATTAGTCAACCTTCTCAGTTGTGACAGAATAATTTGGAGAAGACTTGAAGTTCCTCTCCTCTCCATGTGAATGGATTTGGATGTGCAATTCACAGTGCTAGGGCTAGTGTGTATCAATTTTAGAAAACCTGTCTGTTTATTACCAGCTGATCTGTTTTTGGACAACTGGACTGCAACTTGTCTGACCAAAAGAAGCAGTGAGATAAGTTTTCTAAAAGGTAGTACAGCATGTTAATAATATAACAACAAATACATTCTAGTGTCTCCTAGGCCCTAGCATATTATAGGTATTTTGCTAATTGGTTGGTTGAATTAAATGAATTAGTATGATACTGCAGAATTTATAAAATGTTTTTATATACAGTATGTCATTATATTTGAACTCAGAACCCTATGAGTCAAACCAAGTATTATTTTCATTTTAAATATGAAGAAATTCATGCTCTTGGCAAGGATACTTTTTGTATCTTGGATACATTTGCAGGCAGAGAAATCCTTGTTGTCAGTCTCTCAATTCCATCTTTTATGTCCTGAGTCATATTTGTAATCAACCAATGATAGATCATTTGCATAATATGAATTCAAAATTGGTGCCAGTTTGAGACGTTGAGTGGCATGTTTCAAGATGCCTTGGGAGTGAAGCTGGCCTGAAATTCCTGAGGACAGTGCATCTTTGTTTGCCTTTATAGAGCTCTGGTTAATATTCATCACTATAAAAGCTAGTTAGCTAGGTTAAGGAGCAGGAATAGAATACATATAACATGATTTAAGTACTAAAATATTATGAGCTTGTCCAAGCTGTGTCATTTACTCTCTAAGATTACCTTAAAAGGGTCTTTTTCTGTTATTGAGTTTCTATTTGGTATGTAATATGGTCAGATGATCTTACCAAGATTTCAGGCCTAAGTGGCTTATTTACAGCTTTCTTGTGAGCACGTGCTAACTTTCCATGATATTTGACTTCTCTTAGGTTATTCATTTCTCAAATGACTTATATTCATGTTGTGCTAGCGTGAATTTGTTCTCCTCTTCTTCCACCCAGAGCAGCTTTCTTTTAACTTTAGGAATAGGTTTGTCTACTGTGACGGTATCTTCTCATCCACATTCTCTTCAATGTACAGTCATCCCTTGATACCCATGGGGGATTGATTCCAGGACCTCCCCCTGAATAACAAAACCCATGAATGCTCAAGTCTTGAATATAAAATGGTGTAGTATTTGCATATAATATGTGCATATCCTCCTGAATAAATAATCTCTAGATTACTTACAATACCTCATATAATCTAAATGCTATGTAAATGTTGTTATACTATATTGTTTAGGAAATAATAGCAAGAAAAAAGTCTATGTGTTCATCATAGATGGAGTTTTTTTCCAAATAGTTTCAGTCCATGGTTGGTTGAATCCATGGATGCAGAACCCATAGATATAGAGTGCTGACTGTACTTGTTTTAGAGCTGTTTTTCCTGTGGTGTGAGGAAGGAAGGAAGACCATACCTAGAAGGGAATTCTTTGTGTTTGTGGGATTTATTTCTCTTGGAGATTGGAGGTTTTGTGTCATCATCGGTGAAGAAATATATCTCAGCTGCTGGATCGTTTTTATTCTGTTTACAAAGAAACATTTCATTATTTTTTTATATCATGTTTGATGCCATGACAATGATTAGAGTAAGTCTATGCTGGATGAACTCAACTTCCATCTCCCTGGCAACTAGTCTAGATTTTAGCTTCTCAATGAGATGCTAGTGTGAGAGATAGGAAACATTGTTCAACCTGATTAGGTTCCTCAAGAATATGTTTTGATTGACTCATAAATTGTATTGTGTCCTGTGCATGGTAATAAGCTAGGTATCTAGGAGTAGCAAAGTAACTCCTGTAAGTATGAGAATATTTTATACAAGGAAGACCATAGAAATAGGAAGTTCTGGGTACTACATGGGACATATTGAAATTATTTCTCAGATTAGCAATGTTATTGAAAAGGAACAATATGACGTTGGAACTGCTTAAGCTGCTGATAAGAGTAGCGAACAGCAGTTCTTCCTTTTGACCACCTTAGCAACTAAGATTCTTGGTTTATGTTAGTGTTAATATGTTTGAGGTTTCTTAAAATTTATTGTTGATTCTGAGCTCATGGTATTCCCCCACTTATTCCTAATCTTCTTGCTTTTGTATGTGTTCATTCATTTGTAGAGAATAAATGGCATTCGCACAGAGGAGGTGGCTGTCGTGACAAAGGGGCCATCTACTAACCCTGACTCTGAATGGGAGGGGCCCAAGCATTCAGTAGTTCCTAGTAAGAGCCAGATGACCACCCCATCGGAGTCTCCACAAAGCTTTGACTTTGGCTCCCTTTCCATAAGCAGCAAGGAGACAGAAGAGAAGGCACAGGGGACAGCTGGCTATCTTGATGTTCAGGAGATGCCAAGAGGCCCAATTGGGGAATGCATGCTAGTGGAGGAACAGGCCAGTGCCATAAAATTCTCAGTTACACCAGCTTCCTGTCAGCTGCACCTTGGTGAAAAAAAGGCAGAGAGTAGTGAAGAATTTGTTACACCAGGAGAGCCACTTGGAAAACAAAATGGATCATTTCTTGACTTTCATGTGGGTAACCAGTTCCCCACCCTCGTTCGAAGTTTCCAGGTAGTAACTGATTGGATGATGCAGGCCTAATGACTCTCTTTGGAAGAGGGCCAGAATCTGTCCTGTGGAAGAGGTGGTTGTGGTGTGGTGAGGGTAGTGGCCTCTTTGCTTTTTTCACAATCTCAGAGTAAAACTAAAGCCTTTGATTGCTACAAAGACAATCAGAGGAATTAACTCCATGTCTAGAAATGCTTTCTACCCTGATGACTTAACAAAACTCCTGGGAGTAAAGGCCAGCTATTTGTCTTGATGAAGCTGGTGTTATTGTGTTCATCTTTTTCTTGCTCAAGCATGGGCTATGAAAGGAGGTGAAATTCAGATACTCTTAATTAAAGGGGCAGCTGATCTTTTTATGAGATTTCAGGCCCCAAATAATTTGTGTCCTGCAGCCACATCGTGCAGCCCACCACTCCCACTGACGCCACTCACGGGCTTCCAGGATCATAGGCACTAATTTCCTATGCTAAGGTGGATGGCCGCTTAACCTTATCACAATCAATTTGTAGTTTTAGAATGATTTATAGTCCTGGGGAAGGTGAGCAAATGGACAAGAAAACCCTTGATAATCCACTAATGTTCATTCTTCTGAAATTCTGAGATTAATCACCAGGTGGTGGAGGAACTGATCATTTCCTTTCCAGTTTTCCAAATACTGTTTCTTCACAGTAACTCCAAAGTGAATGTCTGACATTGATTTGAAAGAAGTTAATGAATTCCAGGGTAATGCATTCCAGTGCCACTGCTGTTTCGTGTACCGTTTGTACTTAGTGGAGGAAATGTGGCTGATTTTCTTAATTATAATGGTACAGTCACAAGGACAAATCAAAGAGATTGCAAATCATTTTATATTCAAATTCTGAAGGTCAGTCTGAAGTGTTTTATATCACCAATCATAACTGTCTGATCTTATAGCTTTACATTAAGCTTATGAAAGTGATTACAGTAATGCTGCTTTTTAATATCCCTCCTGATTTGACACCCTGTCAGGGTTACTCTCTGAAATAGTGTCCAAGTCTTGGACAGAGTAAACCCCTTTGGAGATTGAGCTAGCCCTTTCTTTGATTAAAGCTAACACTTTGATCAGATCAGTGTCAGAAGATTGCTCTCCACAGCTTTCAAAAAGACTCTAGTAACTCTGTTTCTTTACTGCTTCACAGCCTCCCCTGGTGAAGACTCAAACTGTCACCATCTCAGATACTGCCAATGCTGTGAAAAGTGAAATCCCAACCAAAGATGTCCCTATTGTCCATACTGAGACCAAGACCATCACTTATGAAGCTGCCCAGGTACGACACAGTTTGATGCTTCAGAACCAATGACTACAGTAAGCACAATAAATAACCTTCTTTCTTCACAGGGTTTCTAGTCATTTGCTGCAAATAATGCCAGGTTTTTCTGGGGCAGTTCTTTTTGGAAGAGATTACTGGTCTAAGGATGTCCAAAACTACTTTAGTAAAAGAAAAATAGAGCCAGGCTCAATGGTTCCTGCCTATAGTCACAGCTACACAGGAGGCTGAGGTCAGAGAAACATTTGATGTTCCTCAAGACTATAGGACTTTTTTTTTTTTTTTTTGAGTTGGAGTCTCACTCTTGTCACCCAGGCTGGAGTGCAGTGGCACGCGGCTGGCCACCACAGCCTCGACCTGCTGGGCTCAGACGATCCTTCTGCTTCAGCCTTCTAAGTAGCTGGAACTATAGGCATGTGCTACCACACCCAGCTAATGTTTTGATTTATTATAGAGAAGAGGTCTTGCTATGTTGTCTGGGCTGGTCTCAAACTCACAGGCTCAGGCAGTCCTTTCGCCTCGGCCTCCCAAAGTCCTGGGATTATAGGCTTGAGCCACTGTACCCAGCCAAGATGTAGGACTTTGATCAAGAGTGGGAGGGAGACTGACTTCTTCACTGGAAAACATTTTGAAGTTTTTGAATTTTATAGCACAGACATCTCAAAAACTTGTAGTGATGGCTCAAATAAATTGTTTTAAAAATTAGGCCCATACTACCCCCAGAAGCCTATGTGGTTTGAGTGTAGTCCTTACAAAAAAGAGAAAAAGAGGCAGTCATTTAAAAGTATCCTAACACGGCCAGGTGCGGTGGCTCATGCATGTCATCCCAGCACTTTGGGAGGGAAGAAAGGAGAATGCTTGAGCCCAGGAGTTTGAGACCATCCTGGGCAACATAGTAAGACCTTGTCTCTACAAAAAATGAAATAAATCAGCCAAGTATGCTAGTGGATGCCTTTCGTCCTAGCTACTGGGGAGACTGAGGTGAGAGGATCACTTGAGTCCAGAAGGTCGAGGCTGCCATGAGCCAGGATCATGTCACTGCACTCCAGCCTGGGTGATAGAGTGAGAACCTATCTGAAAAAATAAAAATAAGGCCGAGCACAGTGGCCCATGTCTATAATCCTAGCACTTTGGGAGACCAAGGCAGGCGAATTGCTTGAGCCCAGCAACTCAAGACTAGCTAGGGCAACATAGTAAGACCTCGACTCTGTAAAAAAAGAAAAAAAGAAATAAAAAATAGCGGGGCATAATGGCATGTGCCTATATGTAGTCTCAGCTACTTGGGAGACTGAACCCAGGAGGTTGAGGCTGTGATGAGCAGTGATTGTGCCACTGCACTCCAGCCCAGGCAACAGAGTGAGACTCTGACTCATAAATAAATAAATAAAATTTAAAATATCCTAAAATGTGAGAGAAATATAAGGTCATCATGAAAAGCCCTTGGGGTTTATAGTTACCAAGACTCAAATCTTAATTTCAACACTTGCTAGTTTTGTGACCTCAGGCAAGTCACTTAACCTCTTTGAACCTTAGTTTTCTCTTCTGAAAAATACCTATATAGAGTTATTGAAATAAGGATAATAGCTATTGAAATAAGGATAATGGCACATAGTAGCTATTCAAAAATGGTAGCTGTTACTATATTCCATTTTAAACATCTGTCTTTATTTCATTTTAACCAGGCTTAAGACAGTCAACCAAGATACAAATTGCTTTTTATTATTGATGCTAAACAGTGGGGTATAGTAGGGAAGAATGTTGACTTTAGAGACAGATTTCCTGGGTTTGAGCCTTATCTGTCACTGACTAGTATGCAGTCAAGTTACTAAAACTGTGTCTCAGTTTCTTCATTTGTAAAATGTGGCTAATAGTTTCACCTCATAGGGTTGTTGTGAGCAACACATAAATTAATGCACATCATGTGTTTCCAAAGTGCCTGGCACATAATATGCACCAGATATTTGTTTGGGATTGTTATTTATTTACTACAGCTATTTCTGCTTTTGTTTTTATTTTTTTTTTGTTGTTTTCTTGCCTGATAAGTAAGCCCAGGCCCTATTTTTTGATTCGTTCACAATTCTCACACTTTGAAAAATGTAGTGAGAGAAGATACAGAGCCATAGTAGAGGGTGTGTGTGTGTGTGTGTGTGTGTGTGTGTGTGTGTGTGTGTGTTTGAGGTAAAGTTCATGTATAGTGATATGCACAGATTTTAAGTGTTTGGTTTGATTGTTTTTAACAACTGTTTATACCCATGTAACTAAGACACATTTAAGAAACAGAATGTAAGCCGGGCTCGGTGGCTCGGCCTGTAATCCCACGCTTTGGGAGGCTGAGG